TACAGGGTCTAGAGCAATTCCCCAAATTTTCAAAAACTATCTGCCAAAAACACAAAAACCTAAAGCTAAAGTGCTTTTTTGTTGTTTGTTTTCTTTCAAACTTGGTATACTAATATATCTTTCTGTACTCTATCTTTTTTAATATGACCCGAAACTATACTAACTAATGCCTTTGTGCTATAAAGTTAGTTTTCTTCTCTTCAAATTTTGGTGCAAGTGATCATCAGTGAGAGTTGTTCTATTGTGCAATGATTAACACTCTTTAAATAATTTGCATTTATATATATAAATTTAATTAAAATAGCAATTAAAACAAACAGACAATAGTAAATAATAAACTTTAAATAATAGGTCTTTTAAACTTATTCAGATTGAATTGCTACTAAATAAAATTTATATCAGATTTCAATATATTAAATAATAAATAATTTAAATAAAAATAAATCAAAACTTTCAAAGATATTATTTAAAGCTAAATCAAATTAATCCAGATTATATTTATTTTATCAAATTAATATCAATATAAATAATTTAGATTATTGTTAATTTTATATGTATAATAAATTTACTTTAACTAATTTTTTGTAGTAAAATGAATAATTTCATATGGTTTCAAAATTTTATAAACTAAATTGGTATAAGTCTAACAATTGAATTTCTAAAATAGTTGTGCATCAATGTAAAATTTTGATGCAAAGATTTTATTTTTGTCTATTATTAATTTTTCTTTCAATTTAATTTTATATATAAACTCTTGTTTTATCAAAATTACTATTGAATAATATGCAATAATAAAGATTTTAAATTTTAAATTATTTTTTTATATTAAATATAGTAATAGAATTTTAAGTAAAATAGATATATGCAAAATAAATTTACTTTTTTTTTTTTTTTGGTTTCAATATTAGCTACTTTATTACATCTGAATAGTTAAGTGTTTGCATAGTAGTACAGCAACTAGTCTATATACATTTCTATATATATCCCAGGTCCCTCTCTCCACGGTGTTACAGTTCCCAGTTACTATACCCCCATTTGTGTGTAAAGCATCACACGGCTGCTCAAAGGTGCTTATTTGTAACCATCTAGCCACTGATTTACCTCCCCTTTGGCCCCTAACTTACTAGGGGGTTATCCGCCGGATCAACAGAAGGCTGTGTTTGCCTATTTGCTGGGACACCTGTCGCACTTATGTGCCTCACCCAGGCTTTGGTAATTTTTCGCCATAGCTTGACCTATGCACTCGGGGTCAGGGCTAACTATTTAACCTCTTGTATTATCTACTTCTTGCCTTTATTAAGGTTTGCAACAATCACAATATCCACATTTGGTACTGTCTTTTTACCCAGATTCTTTATCAGTCTCTCCCTTACTTCCAGCCAGCAACCCGGAAGGGTTGGTCTGCCTAGACTTTAAGTGTCTCAAGGATGCCCTTCTCTTGGTATATACTTTCGAAGTGTATGTCTTTTTCCTCTATGCAACAGAACCCGGCAGTTCAGCTAGTGTATCTTCCACCATTAGGATCTGGTCGTTCGGTTCTCCAATCTCGGGCCTCGGTTCGAATTCAGCCCTTATGTAGTACTGTCATAGATCATCGCTATTCCTTAACTCGGGACTTCCCAAATAGGTTTTTGGTTATTTCGATTCCTTGGCTTTATTGCGCTATTGCTCCCATTACTAGATGGTGTGACCAAGATTACAGATTTCTAGATTCAACCGATAATTGACAACTGTAAACCATAACATGGGTTATTTTTTAAAATTCATTGTCCGTGGGATTTGAACTCTAGACCTGCTACTTGGAGGTAACGACTAGACCACTACACTAAGTCGCCACACTTCTAAAATAAAATTCCAAACTTTGAACTATTGTAATTTAATTAGATTAAAATAATTTTACTGAAAAAACAGTTGTTTTAATATTAATATTAAATTTTAAAATAATCAAATATCAAAATATATTGAAATTTTTATAATATAATATATATAAATTTCTATTTTATTTATTTGAATTATTTAAACAATCCTGCTAGTTTTTTTTATTTAATTTAATGTTGCGGATGATCATAAAATCAGATAATGCTAAAATTCACATGATCACATGATGATCTCTGCTATTATATAGTAAAAATAAAAATTATATTATAACTGGATTTAGTGTTTAGTAAATCTACTTTCATGTATAACAAAAGTTGTTTTTTAGATTGAGATGATTCTAATGATAATAAAATCATTAAAAACAACCCACTAGAATGTTTGCAATAGTTCTTCAAATTTTAAATCGCTTTTTTTATAACTTGTAGATCCTATAAATAAATGTAAACAAACGGTTTAAAACTTTGAAGAATTATTGCAAATGATTTAGGGTTGTTTTTAATGATTTTACTATTATTAGAATTATCTTAATTTGAAAAACAACTTTGTTGATATATGAAAGTAAGGTGTACTTAATACTAAATCTGGTTTAAAAATATTTTTAACTTTTACTATATAATAGCAGAGATCATCATGTAATCATGTAAATTTCAGCATCATTTGATTTTAGCATTATTCGCAATATTTAATAATACGACACTAAATTACTTCAAATTATTGTGAATTAATTTAAGCTATTTTAAATCAAATTATATATTTTATTTATAATAAAATTCAGTAATATTGAAGGTTTTTAAAAATATTAGCTCTTAACTTTTTTATTTTTTTAATTATTTCAAACTATTTTAATTTATTTTAATTTATTTTAAATTATTTTACTTTATATTTCTTAGAATTATATCTCAATTTATTTTGAATTATTTTAAATTATTTTATATAATATTGCATAATATCTTATGTAATATTGTGTAATAACTTACATAAATATTTTGTGATTATATATTTTGTAATATTGTGAAAATTATTAGGTAATATTACATTGTTCTTACAGTTTATAAATTATTTCACAATATTATACTCTATTAAATTTGCTAATGCACTAATTTCATCATACCATGTTTTCTTTTCCCCTAAGATCTTCAAATTTATCAAAATTAATCCAAGATAATCTAAATCTCTCATTATTTAGTTTCTTTTAACTTCTAGATGATATGAGCTAGCAATTTATCTTTGCTTCAATTCTATAACAATTACTAACATCTATTTATCATATTTAGATTTTCTAACTCAACTGCTTTCACATAATGTTCAAAAGTCTTTTTTCATCTTTTAATATCAATATCACATTAATTATTGGTTTTACTAAATCACACCACTGGTGCTCAATACCAATTAAATTTTTTAAATGCAGTGTAATATAAAGATCAGGTGTAATATAAATTTTTGTTGTTTTGTTATTTTTTTTAAAAAATACCTTCTAGCTCAAAATTTTATTTATGAAACCACTTTTTTTATTAAAAAAAAAACACCTTGTAAAATTTTACTATATACTATACCTCACCCTAACCCCTAACTATTAACTCTAGCTTAACATTTATCAAATTTAATTTTTGTTTATTTTTCTTGTTTAATTTTTTAGTTGATCTTTACGTTACACTGCATCACTGGTGTTGAGCACCAGTGGTGCGATTTAGTATTACCATTAATTAAAATAGCAAAATATATGAAGCTGTTTAAAGTCCATTGCTTAAAGCTTGTATTCACAAGTTACAAAGCCTTATAGCACAAGTAATTTCACCTAACCAATGTCTCAATACATAGGTTAGTTTTTTCAGCTCTCACTGACCTCACTGACCATGAATGAAGATACTAATAACTCAATAATAGAATACCAATGTCTTAATACAAAGGTTAGTCTTTTTTTGCAGCCCTTACTAATCATGACTAAAAGTAATTACAAGTTAGAAGCAGGATACCAACATCTCAATATGAAGGTTGGTCTTTCTTTGCAGCCCTCACTGACATGAATAAAAGTATTACAAGTTAGGAGCAGGATACCAATGTCTCAATATAAAAGTAACATAAGATAACACATAACCTTTTCCTTACTGTGCAGTACTTATTTATGTCCTAGTACCAGGGTATTTACATGACTTACGGCTCATCCGAATAGAAAAGGTTAATAAAACACCAGTTTAGCTTCTGATCTACCGATAATTTGAATACAGGTTCACCATTTGATAGAATTTGTTCAAATGCTCTTTACTAGCTTGAAATCTTTGTAGCAAAAACTCCAAGACTGTAAATATCTGATGCTTGAATGTCTGATCTACTCATCAAAATCTCAGGTGCTACATATAGTAGAATTCTACAAAATTTTCTTTCTTTACTCTAGAGATCCTAAGATATATAATATTTGCATTTTGTAAATCAAGCTGGAAACCGTTTCTACTGTGTAAATCCCTACAAACAAGTTCCTGTGAATGGATCTACTCAGGATCCAGTACTTTACCGTATAAGATCCTAAATTTATCCTTCCATTCTAATTGTGCTACTTGTACAAAATTTTGTCATAAAGAGCTTCTTGACTAACAATAATATAATCAGCAACCCTAAGAACAAAGGATTCTTATATCCAATTTCACAGTAAATTTTCAGTTCTTGGATAAATTCTTGCTTATTCTTGTTTGAACCACAAATTGCTTTTAAGTACACTAGTTTTCTACATACTATTGATTCTATTAAACCAGCATGTATAATATAAGTGACGGGAAGAGAAAACCTGTAAACCATTTCACTCATTATCATTGCAGTGATATCTACCCTTATAAGAATTAGGAGTACATATCACTGCGAAAATAATGAGTAAAATGATTTACAGGTTTTTCCTTCCCATCACTCATATACAGTTGCACTTCCCAATTTCCTTGATATCTCTGGACTTATTATAATTAATACAAGATACTTCAAATCTCTCTGTATTTTCTGAACCAATAATTTGAGCTCTGGATATCTCTCTTTGTACTGATACCGTCTCGATAATATTGAGCAACGTTGTTCATTACTAGATTACAAACTATTTTAGAGGATTTTTATAATATTCAAATGCTTTATTATAATCTTAATCAACACCACGTAGCGAACACCAACACACCACATTGCAATAGCATAATATTATTTGTCGCAATTGGGTTTCCTAACTTAGCTGATCTCGTATAACATTCGAAAGCCTTCTTTTTGTCTTTGAATTTATCCATTGAGCTTGGACTGAAGTATCATACAAGTTCTTCCACTGATGCTTTACAAAGACGTATATATTGTTCTCCTAACCGATATTTTATTCCATTTTGTCTGTGGGATTTCAACGAACTTTATGGTGAGCAAGACTTTCATTGTACCCAGGTTCTTCTGTTGCAACTATAGGTGGTCTTAATTTTTTCTCTTTTGAATTCATTCACTTCGCTTATCCACTGAGATAGTATATCGTTAGGTGCTTCCTTATGTATCTTTTATACTTAACATTCAATTATAGATTAATTGCATCATAATTAATCATACAATACTTAACTTTTACTTCAATTGCAAAAATAATTAATCATCCGATACTTAATCTCATGCGCCTTGATTGATTCTTGATTATGGTTACACGCATTAAACTAGCCTATTTGATATATTGGTTAAAAATACTGTTGAATTTATCCAAGCTATATTGAAATATTTGATAACTTATTGTAAGTGCTTTGATTATTAAATGACCGTTATACTCATTTGCTAATCTAATTGATATGGAAATTAATAAAATCAAATGTGATGAGTATATTATTACAGAAAAAAGCAAATGCAAACATGTAAATACAAATGAATGAAAGTATGTGGAAAACTTAACTTTCTTAAATAAATTGTTGATTTTACACAATATAAATAAAGATATTGATTTTTTAGTTTGCCTAAATGTCACGGTCGTATGTGACCACTAATGCTATAATGGTAGAACTCTAAAATTGCCGGGATTATCATGTCTTCTCTTAGCATGCCGTTCTGACGCTTTTGAGAGAAAGTAATTTCATTTTTTCCTCATGTGCCCTTACCATGCACATAAGAGTCGTAACTATCCATAGCTTAGTTATATTATGTGTTGCTGTTGCTACGTCCTTTTATCAGCAAAAAGGTTCCTTATATGCTTTACATACGACCCTAAATTAATTACATCATAATTAATCTACGATGCACGTCTTGAATGTGTGCCAGATTAGTGGCGCAGTCAGCCACACCTATCACATGATTTATTAGCGTGATCGAGATTATTAAGTTAGATAATTAAAAAGTTGTGCAAATTTAATTTCGCAAGTTTAGCAATAGATACAAAGAATATAAAAAATTTGCACAAGTTAAAAATAAATTCAATTACAATACTTTTAACTAATATAATTCAATTCAATTGATTTTTTGCAACATTCCCACCCAAATTATGTTCTTTTTTATTAACTTTTCGTTTTTTTCGGGACGGAATAGTTTGAGAATCAACATTTTCTTTCATTCTATTCACACTAGTACCCGACTTTCTTACTCTACTAGACCCTTCCAGTTTACGACGTTTGACAGATTCTACCTGAACACGTATCATAGCACCACTTTTAATACGTGTAGCATCTACGTTGCTGTTAATATTATGTAAGAAGGAAGTTAATCGTGGAATCAAAATCGATTTTGATGCATGGTATCGTTCAATGAATTTATTCAGAGCAGCACAAAATTGTGAACCAGCATTTTGATAATCGTTTCTAACTTCTTCTACGAAGATATCAAGAGTTGAGTTGTTGGAATTGCCAGTTGCTTCAACTACAGAATTATTAATTTCGTCATTTTGTTCAAACAAATCTCTTAAAATATGTAAATTATTAATATAATTGATTGATCTATTATATTTGCAACTTTGAATAATACATACGTAGTATATGCGATTTCTGGCCTTTGATTAGATAATTCTAACTCTTGCAAAGTGAAGTTTGTATGTAATGAAGCATAAAAGGAACTGTTCTTAGCGATTTGCCCTAAAAATAAATAAATAAATAAAAGTAAACCAAAGAATAAAATAAAAAATAATAAATAAATAATATTTATATTCACTATACGATTATTGGGAGTTAAAGATAGCAAAAAATTTAACATTTTAATGTGAAATTTCATCGCAATAGCACCTTGGTGCTTGCAAGGTGCACCAGTTGTGCCGACTTGACAAGTGCATGTCCCAATTTCACTGTTTACAGTATAAAAAACATCATTTTGCTTGGTGCTTAACACTAAAAACTCATTTTCAATATTTGTTTTTTTTATTGAATCCATATCTACTGTTTCCCAGCCAGGGCATACAAATCGTTTGGTAAGTTGTAAATAACCAGGGCATCTATGTGCGAAACAAAGTAATCGTTGTTCATAAAATCTTTCCATTTTTGAGATTATAAAATGAAATACTTGAACTGAATTATAAGCCTGTGTTCGGGCAAATACTATATCCTTTAATATACCAAAGCTGCATTCAATATAATTATTTGTATGATTTCCACGAATAAGCAGCCCTGAACGAAATGATAAAGCCCAAAAATTGCGATGCTCCCATAAAATTTCAACATGTCTTCTTAATAAAGGATAAGAAGAATAAAAATTTTGTTTAAACTCAGAATAATATAGATTCATCTCTGAAATATCTAATGCATAGAGAATCTTCTTCATCATGTTCATAATTAAAATTCGATCAGATTTATTAATACCATGTTTTGCATCGTAGAGCCATTGCCAGAAGGCCTGCAAAAAATGGAATGTACATAGAAGGCGAATAGCCTGAGGCCAGCAGAGTTCTAGAGCATTACGCTCTGCATCTGAATTGTCTGTAAGAAAAATAGTTGGTCCAATTTGTGGGCCACGCCCATAAAATGCGTATGGTGAAAGAATCGTTTTCAGCAAATTTAGCTAAATTTAACTATAAAATTAGAAAAAATATTTAAAATAAAAAAATTGTTGACAATAAGATAATAAATTACCGCCTTTTCCAGAGTAACTTCTGATTCATCAGAAGTAATAAATAGGCCAAGAGGAAGGGCTTCAACGGAACAGCTTGTATATAAAAGAGTAACTGAGGTATTTAGAAACACAAAAGAAGCTGATGCGTCAATGTAACAAAGTTCACCTGCTTGTAAAACCTTCTCATGTACTCGACACATCAAGCCTGTTACAACACAAAGGATAAATGCACTTCCAATATATGTATCATATTTTTGCAAAGCAGCTTTACCATTACCTGAGCTGTTATATTCATTTACTACTGCTTCTAAATGATCAAACATTCCTTTGCCATTTTGTTTGCCTAATGTTGCTTCACGATACTGATGAAAAAGCCTGACAATATAATTATAATCTGGATTACTCACCCTATCAGCAAGTAATTCCAGTAATTCTTGATCATTTATAGCAGAAAGATGAAGATCATCTTCGTGAGAGTGCAAAGCTGAAGCAGGCGAATGGCTATCATTAAACAGTTTCAAAAATTTGTCACGAATTTCTTCCCTAACATGTCGAAAACTCAATGATTCTGCAGAATCAATTACATGGTTGTGTATAAATTGAATATTGATTTCTAATGGATGGCTTAATTCAAGATGCCATTTTTCTAATCTAAGATGAATACTTGCATCACAATTGATATTTTGTAATCGGGCTGAATTTGGATGTTTAATTTTGCGATCTCCTTGCTTTTTTTTTACTTCATTACTATGTATACAGTGCCGTTTTTCTCTAAAAATAACACGTTTTTCCTTAATTGTGAAACCTTTAGTTTGAGGCATAGTCGTTCTAGAACATGCCTCAAATGCTAAAAACCATTCATGCACTTTTTCTTTATCATTAATATTAATGAATGCATCCAGTTCAATTTGGGGTATTTCAAAGTTTTCAATTGTCCAATAAGATGGTAATTGATTAAAGTTTTAATTAAATATGTATACGGTTGAGGAAGCATTGTTTTTAGAATTTC